AATATAAATTTGAATTTGTATTTGATTTGATTTTCAAATCAAATATTCAAATGTCAAATCGAATTGCGGAACCCTACCTATATTGATGGTCTGGTTTAAATATATTATCTTTTTCATTAAGTAAACAAAAGGTAATCATTATCTGATTTTGTTTCCTACTAACATTACGACCATCACCACCAAGTTTTATATAAAGAGTATCTCCTGAAGTTATTATAGGATTTTCTCCTCCTTTCTAAATAGGTATTAATACCTTAAGTAAAGTTGAAAGAGAACGATAAGCCCCATTTTCTACTTCATAATTATTTACTAAAATATCACTAGTATGTATATCAGAATTATCATTATCATTAAATTGATTAATATCTTGATCTATATTAAAAATTTCCACATCTGAGTATTTATTAATTAATTTATCTTATTTTGACGATTAGCAACTAAATATTCACAAAAAAGTGATGGTACAACTGCTGCTAGATGTCAATATCCATCACAGCCTAAAAGTGCTTTATTACACATATGTACAATAGCATCAAGTTTTGTTTGAATTATCATAGGATTTGAAACTTCAAATTTAATACAAACTTGATTCTCTTTATAATCAAATCAAATTGCTGTAAATGTATGATTGGCTTTTCAGATAAATTTGTCAATTTGTGCTTAACAATCAATTCATCAACTGCTTTTTGTACATTTTTTCCAAAACTATTTAAATCTTTTATTTTGCTGTAATTGAGAAGTGATATTCTCAAAGTGTCTTTTTTGATTATTAACTTCTTTTGTAGTAGTAGTAATAAGTTGAAACCAATTTGTAAATGAGCATGATATAGTGGCTCAATATCAAATCCAAATAACTGAGGCTCAGAAAGTTTAGTTAATGATTTTTGGTTAATTTTCTAATCATTAAAATATTAAAATTAATTATATATAATTATTAGAATTTTTTAATATAAATGTAAGAATATAAGAATTATATACATATAAAAATGTATTTGCAACTGCTATTAGAGATTTCATACTACTAACACTCCATTCTGCATGACCTTCCTTTCAATTAATAGTATAGTTTACCTTTGAATTTGAAATATATTTAGTCTCGCAATTAAGATTTCTTTCAAACATCTCTGTTTCAACTATATAATTATCTGGTATTGGATATTGAGATGCGTTGTTTTTAGATTTTTGTGTTAATTTTTGTGTAAAAGGATAGGTTCCTAGAGAAATAATATTGTAGTATGAAATAAATAATCGTCCATTATTTAATTGATAATATGCTTCAATTTTTGAATTTTTTGGATAATCATGTATAAAAACACGACTAGAAAATGAAGCTATCAACAAAAGGAATGTTGTTAGACTTTTTTCTATACTGTAAAAAAAAAGGTATTGAAAAAAATATTACTTCAGTAATAGGAATGGTTGTTTCAGCCATTTTAAAGCAAAATAGTTTCGCTAATTATTTATAATAAGTTTTAATATACTACTTACCAATTTTCAAAAAAATACAATTACTTCCAAATAGAATCAATTGCAAACCAATTTTCAACAGGTTTCAAAGTTGTGAAAAACTTGTTCAAAGGCATGCTAAACCACCAACTAGGGTTTCGCAATTCGATTTAATATTTGAATATTTGATTTGATCAAATTTAAATCAAAGAATGATTTATTTGATCAAATCCAAATCAATGTTTGATTTGATTCGATCAAATTCAAATCAAGTATCAAATATTTGATTTGATTTAAATTAATAGTAAAGCCATCTCCAAAGCTTCAGAAGTGATTCTTACTAAGAAAACCATAGTAAAAAGTGCCTCTGCAGCTTCGGAAATACCTTTTTACTAAGAAAAACATAGTAAGAAGCGCCTCTGTGGCTCATAAATGCCTTTTTTACTAAGAAAAACATACTAAAAAGTGCTTTCATAGCTTCAAAAATGCCTTTTTTACTAAGAAAAACATTGTAAAAATGCTTTCACAGCTTTCAGGAATGTTATTTTACTCAGAAAATATAGTAAAAAATGTCTCTGCGACTTTAGAGACGTTATTTTACTAAGAAACATAGTAAAAAATGCCTCTGCAGCTTCAGAAACGTTTTTTAATAATAAAATAGTTACGAAGCCGAGATGGCGGTTTTTACTAAGTTTTCTTAGCAATTACCGGACATGTCACGCGTTAAGTGGGTCAAATGGATTACTAATTAAATATACATCTTGTCAATCACGATTTTTACTATAATCAATTAGTAAAATCTTATTTTTTCGTCATATGTAAACTTTATTTTCATCCAATAATATACATTAAAAAATTTTTTTTTTCTTACTCTTCGAGTTAAGACCAATATATTAATATAATTTTTTTTTGTGATTTATTAATAAAAAGTTAAAAGGATTTCTTCATAAAGTTGGTCCTTTTTTATTGTTTTAATTTTACGAATCTCAAAAATGAAAAACTTAGCTAGCAATATAAGCAAACTTAACCTTCAAAATTATAATATTAACGATCATAATACTGTAGAGGAAGAATATGACTCTGACTTTAATGATGTTAATGAGAATTTAGGTGATTTAATAAATGAGATGGACATGTTTGAGTATAGTAATATTGGTTTAGACTGTGAAGAAAATTCAAATAATCCCCATTTTTTTCAACTAAATACAAATGCATTTCGATCTGCTTGTTATTTTTCAACTATTTTGAACGAAACTGATAATATAGATGATTATATATTAGATTTAGATAGCAATTTTGATGACAAATCTGTAATTTCTATGACAACAAATATTACCAATGAAATACAACCAAGTAAAATTCCCAAACTAACAAACACAACCAAATTTACCTCTTGTGTTTTAATTGATAATATTAATGGTGAAATTCGTTCTTGTGGAAGTTCAAAAAATTTACATTGTATAAAAAATATTTTGGGGACCTGGGAAATTGACAACGAAATGGTTCATAATGTAGATGGTGATTTGGCTTCTTTGGGAGTTTGCTATTCACATCAAATGTATGATCAAACTAAATTGCATGTAAAAAATGCAAAAGGAACTAAGGATTCATCTTTGGGTTTTATTAATAGTAGAAGATGTCTTTTTTGTAATATTAATAAAAGTTTTTATACTCGTAGAAAGCAATGTGATCAACATTTTTGGATGTTAGTGGGTCGCAATTTACAAGTTCCTTGTAGTGGTCAATATCATTATACTTCTTTAACAAATATTCATCCAATTTTATATCCTAGTTTATTTAATAGAAAATCACGATATATATGTACTTCCTGTTATGAAAAACATAGTGGGCATTTTCATCAAAGATCTGGAATAAAAGGGAAAGTCAGTGTGAATTGTCAAGAAGATTCTTCTCATAAAGATGATATTATAGAATCTCTTCGTTTAATAGGTAATTGGTTTCTTTATATTGCTAAATATGAATCACCTAATTTTCAAGCAGAATTATCTCATGAAGCAATTAATCTTTTACAACTATTACCTTCACAAAGATTTAATAATACATCATAAACATCTACACTTACTTCTGTAAAATTCAAATCTTTTGATACACCCAATCCTTTTATTATTAAAGCTGCTTTTAAATTAAATAAATTAGATTTTTTTGATTGTGAATACAAAAAGATTAATGAAAAAGAAAGTTTTGAATTTGGTGAAGAAATGGCAAGAACAATTTTAAAAAATAGAAAAAATGTTAATGAAAATAAAAAATTATTTGAAAATCCCAATTCTTTAATTGAACATCATAATGCCTTTCCTTTTTTACTTTCTAATTTTTTTTCGGGTTTAATAAACACATTACAATTGTCAAAATTTAAATTAATTACCAGAAAAAATAAGTCTTGTAGTAAATTTACTACTCCTTTAGATCCCGATAGTACTATTAAAACTAGAGTTTTTCTTATATCTATAGATTTTTGTATTGCTTTTCCTGATCTTCAACTTTGGCTTCCAACTATACTTGCTTCACTTGTAAGAAAACCAAAACTTACTTCACTTTTTCAACAATTACTTACTACAATTCATGCAGTTGCACATATTTCAAAACATGAATGTAGATTAGAAAATATTAGAATAATAACAGCAAATTCACGTGAAAGACTTTGGGTAGGTGATGATATTTGGAATATTGGAGTAATCGATAATATAGATTTTAAAGAAAGAACTTTTGCTTATTCAAACATTTTTGATCAAACAAGAAGCACAACACATGCAACATTACGTATAGTATTTCAATATAAAATGCCTACTTCACTTTCAATTCTTTTAAATAATATTCTTCCCATATCTGATATTTCAACTTTAAAACTTTGGGCGAAAATATTAAATCTCAACAATTTATCCTTAATTTTTATCAAATTTTTGAAGACTTTTTACAATTTTCAGGTTCAGGAAATACTTTTAAATATTTTTAAGATTTTGATTTGCCTGATATATATCAGCAAATTATTAGTAATATAGAATTGGAATGTCAGTTACCACCAGCTAATGTGGTTATTTTAGAAGCTGAAAATGAACCAAATTCAAATAAAGGAATATTTGAAGCATGTGATATATTTTTACAAGATTTTAATTTAGATAATAATAAATATATAGATATTGTTTCTGATGAGACTATTTTTCGAAGAACTATACGTTATCTTGAAACTCATATACATATAAGAATAATCCTCAGTCAGTAGTACACAAATAAAGATATGTGTAGTGTACTTATAACAATATTTTCAGAATTTGGAATATTTAACTTAGCAGCTGCTTCACTGGTCAAAGTCAAGGGATCTGCATAAAATTTACAGCTTGAAAATCACTATTACATTTATTCATTTTAAGCTCTGTTATGAAATTTTTGTTAAACTTGATTTATGAACTGAAATGATGAAATATATTACCAATTTAATAAGTAGAAATTTAATTTATTGATTTATAATGTATAAACTTTAAATAAATTATTGATAAATTTAAACAATGATGAATTTTAATATCATTTATTATGCTATAAATCTAATTTAATGTGATCACTCGTTTATTGCATTTAATGTGTATAAACTTCAAATAAATCATAAGCATTATCTGTTAAAAATTATATATTCATAGTATATAAATTTCATGTAAATTATTAAGCTGAAATATAACAGAAAACTAGCTAATAAAGCGTCAAATAAGAAATTTAGCAATGAAATCGACGTTAAATTTTAAAAACATAATGAGGCGGTAAAAATTAGAATTATCATTCTATTATATGAAAATGAAATCAAAAAGCATTAGAAACTTTAGCCTTGGCCTTTGAACAAGTAACTCTAGCAACTTATTTCAAGTCTAATTTTCACTTTTTAGACTTTTCTGTAGATCTATCATTTAGACCAACTTGACTGCCATCTGAAAATAATTGATCACGTGTATGAATTTGTTTATTAGACCTCATAGAATCTAATGTTTTCCTATTATCCATTATTGTCTACAAATACAAAATTGAGTTTTACTAAAATAATTCAAATGATACTTGATTACTGTTTTAGTAACATTTACCTGACTATCATTACCATCTGTTAATTCGAAATTTATATCTTTGTAAATATTATTTAATAATGATTTCTCTAAATCACTTTCAAAGTTTTCTATGAAAAAGTAACATCATTATTACCATATTTATATATAAATAGTATAAATAATATATAATTTTACCAGTGAATTTAATAAATGAGTTGCATTTATTAGAATTGATATTCATTCTAGACATAGGATTTGATATATTTTGAACTTCATATTCAGAATCCGAGTCAATTGCATTAGAAAGGACAGTGTTTAAATCATATAATATTTAATAGCCCAACGTGAAAAATTTAAAGATGTCGGATAAGCCAGGATAAATGAAGAGCATTGACGAAATCTTGCTTTATTTGGAGATACTGTTATACGTTGATAAGGAGTTGTTATTTCACCAGCAGAACCCTTGCGTAACTTTGCTTGATATTGTTGTTCAACCTTAGAATCAACAATATCACACATTTTTATAGCCTAATGAATTAAAAGTCATAAAATTACTTATATTTTAACAATAAGTTAAAGTAATTTTTTAAATAATACCTCATCACTACGCCAGGGAATAAAAGGAACAAAATAAATTTCTTCTGATATGGGTTGATTATTAGATTTATTTTGAGTTGTAAAAGCATTCTCAAGACACTTTATGACTTTATTGAGATCTTGGATTTCCTGCTCACACTGGCTATATTTATGCTTCAGTTGATTAAACTGTTTCTCATTCAGGCGATTATTTTTTACCTCTGTTTATAATGCATCTCAAAGATGATAGTTATTCTCCTTTAACTCAGCTTTATATTCTTCACAGGTTCTTCTCTGCCTTGGATGAGATCTGTAAAATGTCATTCTTTTTTTTGTTATTATAAAAGAGATTCGGAATGGAAGAACCCTTGATTTATATCAATCCTTAGAAAGTGCATGATATTAACCAAAATCTTGCCTTACAGAAGCTATATTATCAACCTGAAGGCCTTTACCAAAATATTAAGGGATTATGGAATGCATGTAAAAAAACTGGACATACCATCCTATTTATTGATGTAAAAAATAGCTTGATGTTCAAGCAATATATCAAATATTTTGTTCTTCACCTAAGCATATATCTTATACTAGCTATTCTAAAATCATAAAACTGAATACTATACATCAGTGTGATTTGATTGAAATACCATATGATGAATATGTGGATACAAATTTGCTAGATAATGAGCCAATATATTACTATGTGCTATTGGTTATAGACTGCGTAATTAGGTATAAAGATTTCATTTTTTTAACATCAAAAAGTAGTGAAGAAGTTGCAGAAGGCTTTAAGAGTATTTATAATAATCATGACAAATTCCTTAACTGGCTTTGAAAACTACAATGTGATAAGGACACTGAGTTTATGTGATATATAACTTTATTAATGGATAAGCATGGTATTAAAATCTGAAGAATTATAGCACGTTTCAGACATACTAGCTTAGCCTTTGTAAACTATTATGCTGTATTATTCAAGTTTAGAGTTTTTAAAATTAGTATTTAATAGAGTTTCTCCTACCTACTGGTGAATGTTTTAGGGAATGTGAACGATTTGCAAGAAAAATTTTTGACAATATGAATGATATCCCAATTCAGTTAATTGGAATGAATCCTAATGATGCCACAAAACTTGAGCGGGTGTATTCCAAGCCATCGATAAAATATAATCGTCTGATAGGTGTTAATAAATCACAACTACCAAATAATACTACTATCTGATTTTTGCTTGCCACTAGAGAGTGGAAAAATGATCCTTTTGAACAATACAGAATAATAGATCTAATATAGTCTCCCAGCCTATATAGAATTGTTATTGGAAAGAATCCTCCAATATCTGTTTTGTATTATTTAGACGAATCAGGACCTCAATGTCTTTTTGTAAGAGAACAATTAATGCATATTAAGGAAGAGTCTATATTGCCTTCTAGGTGGGTATTGGAAGATAACCAAATATGCACAAGACGCTCCTTATAAAAGTTTCTAAGTCTACTACACAGTAAAAAATTATAATAAGGATTACTCCTTTCTGATAGCATAACTCTCTCTTTTCCCAATCACACTGAATTTATGAATCTATATTCATCTGCTCTTTTAGATGAAAAAAAGGTACGATTTGGTAATGTTGGTTACCATTATATTCAAAGGCCAAACCTAGTTCTTCATTGTATCTATCTAGGTGTAAACCTTCTAAAAATTTAGGTTTTCAGAGTAGAAATTTTTTATTTAATAAATCTTCGAATATATACCAACATGTTCTTTCTGGTATATTAGGGCAAATATTATACCATTTATAATTCTGTTTCATATTTTTATATGGTACCTCCCATTAATAGCCCTTTTTACATATCCATAAATAAATGCTAAAATTACTATTAACTCTAGCTAAGCACCTTCCTTCATGTTTCTAAGCATATGCTAAAGTTTTGAAATTAGTTCTGTTATGATATTACATTTTATAGACGCAGAAGAATCGATCTGAACATATGCAAATCCAGATTGCTAGCTCAGAAGTAGAATTAAACTTGGCTACTAGTATTGCATAAGCAAAATAAAAGATAAATATCTCCAGTACTTTTAGCAGAAGTAGGATTGGTCTTCTGCCTCACATCAATGTCTAGAATCAGGTAAAGAGGCAGGTTACTATCAATACATTCATGAGCATCAAGCATTCCATAAATTTCAGATGGATGATCAACAACTGTAAAACCCTTTCCAGATACTCGAATGATATATTTATCAAAAATCTCTTCAGGATAATAAGCACCTAAAAGAGTGATATCATCTTTACTATTAGTTTCCAATAAATGATGAAAATATGTATGATCATTATAGTCCAGCTCAAAATCAAAGTCAATTATATCTGAGAAAAGCTTTATTGCTTCATTTATTTCTTTGGGATTGGGTTCAAATTTTTTTTGCGCAGTAGATTCTAATATTATGGGTAGTAAAACAAACAAGTATAAATTTATACAAAAAATACAAACTTTAAAATAAATTTACTAGTAATCGATGTAAAGATATCCTGAAGTAGTAACTATACAGAAATAAGGTCTAGAAGCCAAAAATATGCAAAATATTGGTGACCCAGATGAGCAGAATTATATATAGGAAAGAGAAAATAAATTTTATGCATCTGGGTCACCAACTAAAGATATCCTGAAGTAGTAACTATGTTTAGAAGCCAAAAACATGCAAAATATTGGTGACCCAGATAAGCAGAATTATATATAGGAAAGAGAAAATAAATTTTATGCATCTGGATTACTAATTCAACACTTTGTGTCTCATTCTCAGCAATCAAACAGATTATAAAAGGCAGATTATGCATCTGAGTCACCAATTTGGTACTTTGTGTCTCATCTGGTAATCAAAAAATGGCAATTGAGAGGAAAGCAACTATATGAGAGTGTTTTAGCATCAAACAGTATCACGTGACTATGACGTAATAAGACAGTATTAATTTGCTTATTTTTAGCTAACACTATTCCATAAATTTGGCCAGAAGTTTAGATATAATAATTCAGCACCCAAGCTAGCATGATAGTGCCTAAAAGATCGGTCAGAGTTATATCATAGAGCTGGCAAATCTACTACGCCATCTGACGCATTTTTTATCACAATTTGGCATTTTAACAGACAATCAAGTAGGCGTAAAGGGTAAGCATATCAATATAGAATTAAAAACCTATTCAGATATAGAAGGCTAGCACTCTCAACATAAAACCAGGTATCCAAATACTTACAGAAGGCTAACAACCCCCAAAATAGAATTTGATATCCATTCAGGCATAAGAGGTCAATACCAATTGGATAGTTACAAGGCATTAAAAAGGCTACAAAGCAATGAAAACAAGCAGATAGTTACAAGGCAATAAAAAGGCTACAAAGCACTGAAAACAGTAATAAGGTAACAGTCTAACAGTAACTAGATAACAATATAATGAAAATTAGGTAACAGTCTATCACAACTGGATTATACTCTTATAAGAGTGTAATCCAGTAAGGATGTTACTAAGAGTATCACTAAGAGCATCACTAACAAATTTTTCATAGTAACAGGAGATTTCATGATGACAAAAATAACATACTTATTGCTTCAATCCAGTTTAAACTATTAACAGGCCTCAAAAGTGCTTATAATATCTTGTCAATATGCTGGCAACAAATAGGCAATAGTTTGATTGCAGAATGACACACTTTTTGGCAATCAAATAGGCTGGGCTAAGATAATACATATTGTATCTCCAATTCTGGATACAAAAAATATGTGACACAAATGCATATATATTGGATTCTGAAAACATTCCTAAAACATTCCCGTCATTAGCCTATAACTATATGAGGGTGTTCAGTCATCAGAATAGTATTGCGTGACTATAACGCAGTAAGATGCAGTATAGATTTGCTTAATTCTAACCAATACTATTTCACAATTTCGGTCAGAACTTTAGACATAAGAACTTGGCATCCAAGCTGATATATAAGTGGTCTGAAACTGGTGAATTAAAAGAACCACTCTAGCTTCCTATCAGTTCCTCACCAGTTCTATGATAATTTCAGGATACTATCAGGTCACTGCTATGCGCAAAGCTGGATTCTCAAATCACATGTCCAAAAGATCAGCCAAAATTATGGCATAATGTTAGCTAAAATTAATCACGAATTTATTGCGCTACCTGTCATCTTTTTTCTTTACACTATTTCAGTATCCTGAAGGCAACCAAATAGACACACATTCTCAACATAAAACTGGTAACCAAATTGGCACAGAGGGTCAGCAACCTCAATATGGAATCAGGCATTCAAACAAGGATAAAAAGCCAATACCAACAATGTAGAATTTATTATGTAAACAAATTAAGAATAAGAAGAAAATAGTCACTATTAGATCATGATATTACCATTAAAATAAAGCACTTCCAGCCACTATTAGACTATGAAATCACCACCATAATATATAGGAAATAATTAAAACAATGCTATAAATGCAAAGAAGCTACCTATAAGTAGATTATGAAGTCATTATCAGATTATGAATAGTAAGTTATAAAGTTATCACCAGATCATATAATTAGATTATGATATTACCATTATATTATGAAGTTACTTTTATACTATGAAGTTACCATTATATTATAAAGTTAACAGTAGACTATGAAGTTATCATTATATTATGAAGTTACTGATAGACTATGAAGTTACCTTCATAACCTAATCTAAGTCGCATGTGACTTTATAATATATTTATATGGGGACTTTGCAATAAAAAAGGGGAAAACTGTCAGAAAAAATAAAAAATTAGTTAATGCTAAATTTGAACATATTTTGGCCTAAAAATCATATTTAATATATAAAATAAATTTGATGTTTTCTGGCAGTTTCCCCCTTTCTATTGCAAAGGTCCATATTATGAAGTCACATGTGACTAGATAGAGATTTTTGTAAATTCTGAATATACAGTATATAATTTTTTTTAATTATTTTTCAATAAAGTTTTTGCGAATCTACCGCATTTTAAAAAAAAAAATAAACTTTATCTTTTTCGTTTCTCAACAAAATTTCTTATTAAAAATATTTGGTCATTTATTTAAAATGTATAATTTTTTCATAAGTAATTATAATTACAGATTTTATGATAAAAAAAATAAACAAAAATCTAATCTTTATCAACAAAAGTTATTCAGTTGGCATAAAAACCCTTTATCTTAATATTAATATTAATACTATTAACTGTATTTTCTTTCTTTTCTACTAACTATTTCTGCTTCTCTACTAACTGTCTCTTTTTTGCTTCTCTACTAATTGTCTTTCTTTTGATTTTTCTACTAGCTTTCTCTCTTTTGATTTCTTTATTCTACTAATTGTCTTTTCTCTTTTACTTTTTCTAATTTACTAACTTTCTTCCTTTTTAATTAGTTTATTTTTTATTTTTCTATTCTACTAATTGTCTTTTTTTTTTACTTTTATGTGAATTTTTTGAAACATCAAATATTTAAACATTTAATTTCTTTATTTATCAACCATTTAATTTAGAAAAATTCTTATCAATGTTTAACTTTATAAGACTTATGATGATATATACTACTATAATCTTATTTTTGTAATATTTTCTTTTTTATATCATATTATTTGTTAAATTATTTTAGATAAAGCATAATTTGTATATAAATAAATAAATTTAAATATATTAAACTCAGTAAATTATGAAATATTACACGACTGAAAGTTTTAAATAAATATTATAAACGAATTGATGATATAAATTTTCATAAATTACATTAATCTATCCGTAAATTTTCAAAAACTTGTATTATCGTAAATTTTACAGAATATTACATCATAATATTATGAAATACTATGCTATAAACTTTCAAAATTCTTACATTTTTATAAGTTTTACATAATATTACACTGTAATGTTACAAAGTACTATGCCATAAACTTTCGCATAGTTTATATTCTATAATATTACGTAGTATTATATCATAATATTATGGAATATTACGAAATAAAATTTACATAATCTTACATCAGCCTCGTAAGTTTTTGTAATATTACAGAATATAAGTTTACGCAATATTATGTTCTATTAAATTTACTGATGTAATTTTTACGAATATAATAATATTATGTATAGTTTCTATTGATCATCTATAAATATTTCTTCAATTTTCATTAATCCTTTAAGTTTATTAGAAACATTACCTGAATCCATATTATTTTTCGCAGAGAATTTATTAGGTACCACCTTTTTTATATTGTATTAGCAACACTTTTTCTTAACAAAAAACATTGATGTGATTCACTTATTACATATAGAACATGATAAGTATCAAATATTATTCATTTTTTTGTAAAAGTTTTACAATATCTGATATTTATATTCACTAATACTTTGTGTTCCTTTTGCTCTAACATCAGTTTCTTTCAACTTACTCTTGATGTTCATTAGTTATTTCTTACGTTTTTGAACTTATGTATCATATGTTTGCTCACTTTCACGATTAAGACAGTTTCTACAGTTTCTACATTCCTTAAATATCTCTATTAAATTTTTTGTGCTCTACGTTTACGATCATTTGCAAGTCAAGCATTATATTCTTTATTTGCTTTTTTTTTACATTTTCTTTCATGATTCTGTGTTAGACATGCATCACATTGTTTATCCATCTCATTCTTTTGGCTGTTTCTCTTTCAGAGTGTCTTAAGGTTAGTACTTTATTTTTCTATTTTAAATTTTAAATGCAAAATGTTAAGTGATTTTATTTAATTTTTATTATAAATACTTTATTACTATAAAAATTAAAAAACAACAGACTTTCATCAGATTAAATCTTTATTAAAATATTAAATACAATATTCTTCCATTTATATAATAATAAAAGAACAATTAACATTTAATATTAATAAATCAGTATTATACAATTAAATAAACAAATCTTATTGTTACTAATTTTCCAAAATATAATAAAGGAATACTTTATCTATCAAAAAATTCAGGATTGATTTGAGCAAATTAAAATTTAAATTATTATGTGATACACTATTTATTATTCTTATTGATTTATTGGTTAAGACTCTAGTTTTAAACTTAATAACAGCAAGCCATTTTTTAGTTTATAATAAAATAAGATTTATAATTTTATTTTAATTAAGGTTTTTAATTATTTTTATATTTGAATATTCTTTTGTATTTATCATATAATTATGAATTTACAAAGTTTTTTTAGTATAATTATAAGAAATATGTATTTTTTTTTACCAAAAGATGTTTACAAAATCAAAACATTTTTATTTTAGTTTTAATTTATAATGACTTCAATAATCTCTAATTTTCTTTCTATCCCATCTATCCTAATGTTATTTTAATATTACTAATATTTGTTCTATTTTTTTTATTAGTAGAAAAATTTGCTGTCATCTAACTTTGAAGGATTTTTTTTTCAGATTGTGATATTATGATGCGTGATTTTACTTACTTTATTAGTGATAGACTCTCTTAAATATTTGGACTACCTTCTACAGTTGAGTTTATAGTTTGTTCTTTATTGAAGTTAATTATTTGTAAATTGAAACTTTTATTTGATTTATTAATAGTAGGATGATTTCTTTTTATAAAAGATTCACCTTACAAATTAATTTCTTTAGCTCTTTATCTGTTACTTTTATTTCTTTTTTAGTTTTTTAGCATCTTTAACTTTGCTAACTATAACTTCTTTTGCTTTCCTTTCTTGAGTATTTATTGGTTCAATTTTCAATACTTCTCGGTAATAAATTACTTTTAATCTTTCTAATCTTACATTATAATATCCAATTAATTTTTGATATCCTTCCAAATATATTTGATTACAATTTTTAAATAATTGATGTTTATAGGTTCTACAGATTCAAATGCTTCTATAAGTGATTTTATTAAAGTCTTTAAAGCTTCTTTTCTTTGATCAATTAAATGTTTTCTTTCAGTTATTATATAATTACTAATAAACTCACTAAATAATAAATCTATTCTTTCTCTTTCAATTTGTGAGCTTTTTATTTGATTTTTTAAATTATCTTCATTAATTACATTTCCTGTAATATTTTCTTTAATAAATTTTACTCCAAATTTTTCTAGAACTTTATCAAAAACATAATAATGTTTATCACGTGTAAAATTAACTGATCTAGCATACCAAAATAATTCTTTCATTTTTTGATATTTTTCTAATAAAGCAAGAAATTGAATAGTTGATTTAGTGTAATTTAATTTGCCAACTGTTAGAAATAAAGATACAAATGCTACTAAAGATTTAAGTTAGCATTTGTATTTTCTATACATATTCCTGCTTGATGTAATTTCCGCCAACTACCCCATTTATAAAAACAATATCATATTTTAAATAAGCTATTTGTTTTATCTTCAATTTGATTAAAAATAATATTGTTTTTGATACAATATATTTTTATTGAACAACTAATAGCTATTCATATTAAATTTAATGCATAACAAATTGATCTATAATTAACAACTAATTTTAATTTAGTAAAAAATTTTAAAAAAAATTTTATATCTAAAATAGCTGCTAAATTATAGATTTATAACTTGAAAAAAAATTTAATAGAACATTACACATATTTTTAGAATTATGTCATTATCATAATAAAGACCTAATATTTGTATTTATCTTATGTAATTTAATTTATATGTCTAAAATAGTCTTATCATAACATATTTCTATTAATTCATTATTATTTAAATTTTAAGTTTTCAAAATATTTATTACAAGTAGTAAGGATCTCATCATCTCTATTTGGATTTCCTTTAACTTCAAGAATAACAACTTTAGGAAGTGGATATTAAAAATTAATATCAATTTGTTTAATAATTTTTTGTATTAATAATATCATAATCAAAGTCTTATAAATATTCAATTGATTGATTATTTTGATTAAAACATAATAATTATTCAAATATTATTTCAAGTCCAATTAGCATTTCTTCAGTAAATTAATTTAAACTAAATAAATAAGTTTTTTTATTTAGATTAATTATATTTTCATTAATTAAATTTAATAATATTGGTAATTTAAACTGAAATAATAATCTTAGAATAGTATATAAAGTCATTTGATTAACAATATAAATATTTCAAAAAATAAATAATTTTCCTTAAAATCTATATTATCTACTAGGGAATAGGAACTATTGTGAATTCAGAGCTCTTTATGTGAACCATAGAATTATTTTGAGTTTTTTATAAAAATTTACTAATAGATAATTTTTTTATTAAATTATAATGGTTAATACATACAGACATAGATTATTGATGGGGAAAATAAGATGAAAGATTAACTTAATTTTAGTATATAGATTAATTAAACTTCGTTATATTTTATATTTTTTATATAAATAAAGTTTCTTTTTTATTGAATTAAATGTAAATTTTTTAAGTTAATGTTTAAATAAATAAAGAATCAAATAGTTTAAATTTAATTAAGAACAGTTCCTATAAAAGTAAAAGCAAATATATCTGGGTTTGATCCAGCATAATAATATTATAAATCACATATAAAGGAAAGATTGATTACCATAAAAGTAATTCGGAAGCGTTCAAGAAAGAGGCAAAGAGTTCGCAACATGAATTGTTAGTTTCAAAGCCTGATAAAAAAAATAAATAATTACATCTACAAAATGAATAATAAATCTGTCAGCAAAGGCACACTTCGAAAATACAAAGAGAGAGAAATGGAAACAGTTAAGGAACGAGAAACATGACTTAGTAAGGATCAGAAAAAAACAAAAAATGATAGAAAAAGAAACTAAGAAACAGCACGAAGAACGTCTAAAATATTAATATGAAAAAATAAAACAACGAAGAGTAATGCAGGAGATAACAACAATAATATAGATATAGATGGAAAGTGGTTAAAACAGCTACAGGAAAGGTTAAAGATATGAAATACATAATTATCGATGAAAAAAGCATAGTTAGGCGTAGAATGCTTTCCTTGATCAATATTTAATTGTGATAAGCTTTTTTGTAGGTATCGTTAACATTAATAAGAAAATAGTCGAGAATAATAGTTTTTTTGAATGTCTATAAGCTGACTGGATCATCTTTTCTAGAGTAATTTTATATTGAAGATATCTTTTGTTAATATGGTATTTGATTTTTTGTTATATTAAAGTTTCTTTCTCAATTCTAGAAAGAGCTTTGAGATTATAATAAAGTCAAAAAATAAGACGTTTAGTGTGAATGATATTGTCAAAATCCAAAAACTGGAAAATTCAACATTAGGAAGTTTTGCCTTAGCGATAATAGAACTAATGATAGCAACGTCTTTAAACCATTCAGAACTAATAGGCTATATATTAGATTTAATCCTTGAAGTACGAAATTTGAAAATGATCTTATTTAACTTTTTCATTTGATTATAATAAATAACTAGCTCCTTGGTTTTGGTTTATTTTGATCAGTAAAAATCCAAAGTTTTATTGGAATGGTAATAATAGCATTTTGAATACATTTTCAGATTCATATTTGATAATGATGTAGAAAGTTGATTGATGTGATCAATATTTAGCATTTGATGAATTGATCAAGTTTTCTGAATAAATGTTTCATTTATAGGTTGTTCATTACTGAAAAATTAAACTTTTTACGTTTACTATTTTGTTGATGAGAGTTAGCTTTTTGTAAAGTTAGCAAAAAAGCTGTGAATAGTCTATGATCAATTTTGTATAACTGTGATTGTGACACACCATAATAGAAAAGTCGATAGCAAAGTTAGGTAAAGTGAAGATACTATCAAGTCGACAAGGTGTATTCAAGTAGTTATAATAACTATGTGAAAAGAAGGTAAGTATTATATCCTCATTATTAATTAATTGTAAGTCCAAAAAATTTTGATGAGAGAGGCCTTCAATTAAAGAAAAACACAATTCCAGTGGTTTGTTATTTCTAAGTTTATGTGATATAAATCTATATCAACATTGAAATCTACCATAATGATTAAATGAAATTGATGTTTAATACTATCATCAATTAGCTGAAAGATTTCTTTTTACAGGAGATGATTATGGTGAGCAAAAGTCTTATCATTGCAATTAGCTTGAATGTATATGCTAAAAATATGTAGTTTTATATGACCTTTTATAAAAGGTCAACATATATATATATCTAGACAATGAGGTATGTGAATGAACTATATATTAGGTTTATTGTTTAGAGATCAAAAGTCCAACTCCAGCATGAGATTCGCTAGGATTCAGTTTGCTCCAAAAAGATGTGAAATCATAATCTTTATTATGTTTGTAAAACATAAAATTTCTATGATATGTTTCAGTTATACTAACAAAGTCTAGTTTTTTGAGATGACAATGTTCAAAAATTTGGAAAGACTTAATTGGATCAGTTTTTTCAGCCAGTTCTAAAACATTGTGAGTAGCGAATTTGATAGTATCTCTATCTATGATTTTATTTGCAATATCATCATTAATGTATATGATATCTGAATCTATTTTATTAGTGATATATTCATGTTGTATATGAAATTCCAAGATTTGGTTAGTAAGAAAAGAGTCTATATCTATATTATTAGCTGGAATATTCAAGTTATTAGTATGAATATCCATCCTTTATCATTAATTCGCCTGATATGTTTGTTATATAAGCATTGAACAGGAATCCTATCATGATTAGAGAAAGTGAGGAATTGTAAATCTAATTTAGATAGATGAGCTTTAATCAAATTCAATTCTTATAATTTGTTAAGTATAGCAGTAAGTAGATCAAGATCTTTCATTGGTAAAAAGCTATTAGAAAGGTCTTTGGCTTTTCCCTTTGTATCATTATGATTATTAGACATAAAAGGTGTAGAACATGATGATGCAAAATGTTGATCAGTCTGCATTGATCAACCTGAATTTTGTGAGGTCAAATTATGTCTATTTCTTTTATTATATTAATAAGATGAAGTTGGGAGTTATTAGTTATTGAGTGAGATTATAAGATCTACTGAGGATACGAGGTCAGCCGTCCAATTTATATCCATTATAAAGAATTCTTATAGAACAAGCACAATTTATATTTAACTCATTTGAAAATGCAAAATAAGCGATGTTGTTGTGGAAATAACAAGAATGAGCTTCATAAGAATACATTGAATGAAAAGCTTTAGCAGGTGTAGTTTTGTTTGAGAATTCTTTAAAATCAGCCACAAAATTATTTTTGGCTTTAATTTCCTTAAGTGAAGTATTAATATGAGCATATCATATGGGGCCTTTGCAATAGAAAAGAGGAAATGCCAGAAAAATCAAAAGTGAGTTAATGCTAAATTTGAACATATTTCAGCATAAAAATCATATTTGGCATATAAAAGTAAAATTAATTTTTTCCGGCAGTTTCCCTTCTTTCTATTGCAAAGACCCTATATGATTAAATTGATTTTATGAGCCCAAACGAGATTCAATTAATGAGTTTTGGTAAGTCTTTTAAATGTGATAATGATATCATAAGAAGAATCATATCTATTTCTGAATTTATCTTTAATATACACAATGGGTCCATAGTAAGATAAGGCTTTTTTAATATGTTGTTGTGTAATATTAGTTGGAACAACTTTAAGTCTATAAACTGGAGTATTGGAAATAGAAGAAAAAGTGGTATCATGATAAAGTATATATTGGGATAAGTAATGAAAACTTCATCAATTTGCACTGAGAAGAAGTTTTTGATTATTAAATTCAATAAAAATGTTAACATTACCATTATAGAATTTTTAATCAAGATTTACAAATCCAGATTTGTTTGCAAAGTAAGTATTGATAAGATTTAATTGATTAAATCTGATAAAAACATAACCTTTCATATTAAAAGGAGATATATGAGAGATGTGATTAAATAAGGACCCTGAACTATACTATAGAACTCACAAATATAATAAGAACATGCAATTAAAATTATATTACAGTCATACCTCTCTATAGCGAATTTTTATATAACGAATTTTTTGGACAACTATATTAAATTTACCCTCGTTATAACAAACTAGCCAATCAAATTCTTTAAAAAATTCACTATAGCTCTATAGCGAAGTTGAAGTTCAGGACATAAAATTCGTTATATCAAGGGTTGACTGTATATAGCATAACTCGATCAATATTAATACTAGAAAGATAAAATTACTACCATTAAATTCCTCTCAATGTTATAATTTCATTAAAATTGAATTACTGGTTATTGAAATAATGGGTATGTAAGATAAGTAAATTTGTAAAAATAAGCAACTTTTGGTAAAGATTACATATAAACTCTATGCAAACTCAAATGTGAGTTATATTAGTATAGTTCAGGATCCTATTAAATGTATGTTAAAAATAATTTTAATGTGTAATAGTATTATGCATTACCATATTAGTATTATGCATAGATACGTTTGTATTAAGATTAGTATAATTAAGAGTATGTCTGCGTTATCACATGTCAAGTTTAAATTTAATGCGTAAGTTATTAAGATAGGATTATTATGATTAAGGAATAATAAAGTTATATTTGTTTGTTAAATAGTAGATGTGATTGTTGAAGTATTTTTTTCTGTTTATTCCTTTGTTTATTTGATTGATGTAAAAAAGTATCATTTTTGATTATTGTTATAACTGTATTAGCATCAGTATTATTATCAACATTTGTGTTAGAGAAAGAAGAAAGAATTCCTTTATGGAAATTATTAACAGAGAAGTCATTACCCAAAATATTATTAATAGTGTTATTAATAATTTCTTTAGTTTCTTTAGTAGCAAAATCATTTGTGTTAACTTTGTGTATTGTAAGTGTGCTGTGCATGCTATTTGTTTAATAAAATTTTTAGGGAATTCTATTTTTTCAGAAAAAATTTTATCATATTCAAAGTTAAGTTTTCTAATAAGCCAGAATATTTCTGGTATTTGAAAGTCCAAAAATTTTGCTATAGCTATATTTTTTTAGTGAGTTGTGAAGTAATATGAGCAATAAGTTGTAAAAATGTTCTGTATTTTTAGCAAAACATTGCTATAAAATTCTAAATGTTAGAGGATATAGTATTAGAAATTATAAAAGTGGTTTATTTGTTTGTATTTAATTTATTTAATAAAAATTATTTTTAAAAGTTTTTAATATTTTTGAAAAAATAGTCAAATTTTCAGGAAAGAATCAGAGAGAGGATTTGAGGATTCAAATAGTAATAGTTTCATAAGAAATACTTTTTTTATTTTTAAATATTTTAGATATTATTTGTATAATAAAATTAATATAGATATGATTTACTGTGATTATATAAAGGGATCTCAGTTACTTTATAATTAACTTTGCTTAATTTTTCTTCAATTAATCTTTCAGATAAAATTTCTCTTGATGAGAGTGTATAGGATGGATTTAATTCTTTAATAAAATCTATGAAAAATTGATTTTTAACAATTTGAAAGAAATACCACAACAAACAAAAAATTTTACTAAAATACAGTTAATTCTTTTTATATATTCTAATGTTAATTTTTCAAGTTGATTAAATAATTATTTTAATAAAGTTTGTATTTTATCAATTAATTTTCATTTTTTAGTATTAGCAGAAAGTAAATTATAAAATTCTTCAGAATTGGAATGTTTTTGAAAGTATTTTCATATAATCAGATGCTTTCTTACAATGATTAGCAATATAACTTTTCATTTTTGCATTTTCTTCTCGATATAAAGAAAAAATATAAAATTTACAAATAGCATAAGCATGACTATTTTGTATATTTTCAGAACAGTCATAATATTCCCAATGTTTTCCTTGAGGTCAACATTTTTTCGTATACTTTTCATGATTATATATT